AAACACCAGTAGAGAATGTTATTTGATTCCGAAAAGATCCATTATTGTAATTGAGAAATATACCTATATTGTGAGTATTATAATTGGTAACAGCAATATCTAAGTAAGTATCGTTGTTGAAGTCACCTAAAGTGACGGAAAGTGGCATAGAATTATCTCCTGTTGGAAATGTCATTTGTTCTTTAAAAGTTCCATTGCCATAATTAAGAAATATACCAATAGTATTCGTTCCTGAATTGCTAACAACAACATCCAACCATAGATCATCATTGAAATCGCCAACAGTTATCGAACGTGGATGTGAATTTTGTTGAAATGAATTGTTACTTATGACTGATTTAAATTTTGATTCGCATGAATTATCTAAAGAAAATAAGAAAATACTAAAAATAAGTCATAGTTGATTCAATAATAAAGATATATGGACTGTTTACGTACATATATGTGGTGTAGTTAAACACACTATCACAATAGCAACAGTCATTACTATGCATGTGAATAAAGTAGATACAAAAATAAGATTGTATCGCCGTTTTTTATCTTTTTGTTCAATGTTTGACCTAAAAACGAAATTGTGAATTAGATATCTATTGAGTTTAATAAATTAAACCTTTCAAGTAGATCTTCTTGTAATTCGCTAGAACAATCTTCTTGTTGAGCTTCACGTGTATCTGATGGGTTTATGCAGGTCATTGGAGTTGTTTCCATCTACCAGAAAAAAAATAATGGAGACAAAATCGATAGACATACGCATTTATTCACATTTGTTTACTCGTTCTTTTCTCTGATCAAATGGGACTAAGTATATTTAATTACATATACGTATGGCAGAAATTATAATTGTGTATGTGCGCAGCAAGCTACTTCGTATTTGTGCACGCAATAAACACGCATTTTTCTTTTGAAGTAATATTACTCAACGAACCATGAAATTACACTCACATAGCAATACGTCAATTAAAAGTAGTTAGTCGTTATGCACATGTTTTCATCATAATGCATTAAGTAGTTTCGTCTTTTCTCGATATTCTTTTTGTCTGAAATGAGAAGGAGAAGATGTATATACAGTAAAACTTCCCATATATGGGCACTCTTCGGACTTTCCTAAATCGCCCATTTAACCTAGGTGCTCTTGTTACAGAGGTTTTTGTAAAAACCATGCATAAATGTTTTCTCGCAATTGCGAGACGGAACTACTGGTACAAATTTATAGTTATTATTATTTATCCTGCAACTTCTCAGTATTTTATTCTAGCCATCAGAGACTTTGTGCCTAATTATATTTATTTTTCATGTCCTTATTTTACAATCAAGTTTTGCGAAAAAAGTCTGTGATTGAAGTTTGCTTGTTGCCCTTTGAATCGATGTAAATGTCGATAAGTTTTGATTCTAAATTAGTGACGACTTCATGAAGTTCTGGTTGAGAAGTACATGCGAGCAGATGCAGCTTTCGAGTCATTTCAAGAGCTTCAGTGAGTGATGGAGGTGCTTCTTGAATGATTTCATCATCTTGATCTTGTTGAATGTCGTCCATTTCTATTGTTAACGAATGCACTGTAATATCATTAACTTCATTAAATACTGGAATATCTTCGTCAATTTTTACAAATTCCATGGCTGTCAGTTGTAATTCACCCATTTTTACATAAGAAAGTAGAATATCAAGTTTTTCAAGTGAATCTTCTTCACTCGGAAGAGATGAATTGAATGTGAGTTCATTAATTTCATCCATATCATTGTTAATCATAGTAACTGTTTGACGATGTTGAAAACCTGCCTTGCGAAATGTGTTGCGAATTGTTAGATCAGTAACATCGGCACAAGCTTGATATATCCAATTAATTGCATCCAAGGCAGTAATGATGATCTGATCTGGTGTTAATGCAACTGTGCAACGCTTGATGATGTGTTTAACTAATCGACTTCGATAATATGCCTTGAAACAACGAATGACACCTTGGTCGAGTGGCTGTATTTTACTTGTTGTGTTTGGTGGGAAAAAGATTAATGTAACATTCGACAGTTTTA